TGTAAGCAGTCATCCATGAAGAACTGCAGAGAGAAAAGAAATGAAGTCATTGTCGAAAAATGAAGGAGAACAGATCATATACTAGCTGAAATTAGCAAAGCTAAGTATGCATCAAACAGTGAGATTTTTATACATACAACTAATCAATAGCTTAGCATCAGGAAACTAGTATTCGGCAGATACAACAAGATATGCCAACTTGAGAATACAAGACCAAAAGAAATAGTCTAAAATCTTAAATACGAATTTTGAGTAGAGTGGTCTAGACAAAGTATAGAGAAGAACCAAATTAATGATCCAGGAAACAGAAACCAAAATTTAGTCCCTTCCTAGAAGAACAGCCTCCAAAAATACTTTCAGATTGAATTTGATTAACCCATTGCCGTGGACGAGAGAAACATGACACCATGCAATCATAAGACAATGAACACGACTATGAGATTGTTTGACCAATTAATTCATGCTACGGTTTATCTGCAATTCCCTACCTAAAATTTCCATATTGGCACTGATAACAATCACAATTAAAGAATAATTTGACATATAAATAAAATGAAAGATTAAAAAAGAGAGTAAAAAAGAGCTTATGAAAAGATTGAAACTTTCTTTTTACAGGAATAAGAGTTGAAACTTTGTTCACCCAAAAAAATTACCTCAACCAGGGCTGCTTCTTTTCGGGGGAAAGATCCAACAATTGAAGGAGAAACCCCAACTTCTTTTGCTCCTACTACCATCACTTCTGCGCTCCATCCCAATCTCGTATGCATTTAAAAAAAAATCAATTTTTAACCCTAAGAAATCATAAATAAGAATATAAAGATTTTAAAAAATATTAATTGAATGTACGTACGACGTGTCGTAGTGAGGCGGGCAGCACCCGAGCTTGCTCCTCCTCGTACGGAGCTCTTGTATTTTTTCTCTTGTCACGTAGACCATCCCCAGATGTTGATGATGTCGACGAACTCGTTGACGATGATACCATGGAAGAATCAGGTGGATTGAGGGTCTGATTAGGGAACGGTTGTGGGTCTACAGTAGTGGAAAACAGTGAAGAGCTAATGACGGTTCTGAGGTTAGGAAATCGAAGAAGGCGGCCTCCGCCGCTATTGGTAATAAGAGTGGCGCTGTGAAAGAGGCGATTCGCCGCCGTTCGATTCATATCTTCCTGCCTTCACCTTGTGTTCCGACTCCGAGAGTGCGTTTAGGTCCTCTTGGTGGATTAAATATAAAAATATAATAATCTTTAGTCATGTAAACTGTCCACGAAGACTCGCTCTATTTGATTTATCAACATGAAATTACAATAATCTTTTGTCATGAATGAGTAAGAATGATGAACCCCATGGTGGGCAAAGCAAGGCTGGTACTAGCCTTCCTCTTACCCTGAGGCTTAATCTGTGAAGACTACTGCAAAGAAATGGAAATGTGGAATTAATATAACAATCATTCTATGAAAATGACTCATTTTTGCATTTACAAACAAACATATCAACAATATTACTTCCAAAATCAAAATGGAAAAAAAAAATACATGACTAAGATTACATCCTAATCATTTTTTGAAAACTTCTTCGCTTTGAAGATAACTTATCCTAAGTTTTTAACAAAATGAAAATAAGATTTCTTCGGGGAAAAAGAATTGCTATGCACAAACGTTCATTGTTGGGTAGTTATGAAGATGCCAACGACAAAGATCATTCTTGTTTATTCCCTGGGACTGATATTTCTTCGATGCCTCTTTGTAGTGTTTCATGATGAGCGTCTAAGCGTGGATCTTGATCTTTGCTGGCAACCTCAGTTACCCTTTTCTTTTTTCTGACTCACCTACAGCAAACAGGCCTGCCTCAAGATTAATTTACTTCTTCTATCCTCCTAATGGCTTCCTTCATGTTTAGCCGCTGATCAGGGTTACTTTCGGTGCAAGCAGCTCCAATTTGGAGAAGTTGCAGCATCTGATTGAGTGAATCTGTATCCTTTGCTATCTCAGGATCAATCAATTCTTCCACTTGGTTCTGATCAGATATTGATGTTTGTACCCATTGCACGATGTCAGTCCCACCCTTGCCATTGCTTAGATATTGAGAAGGGAATTTCCCTGTGATGATTTCCAGAATGATAATTCCCAGGCAATAAACGTCTGATTTTGGAGAGACTTGCTGATACTGAACATATTCAGGGGATTTGTAAGCAAACAATCCTTGGGCAGCATTGCTGGAGTTTGTCAATGGTTGAAAGGCATAGTCACTTAGTAACGGATCATAATTTTCAGTTAAAAGAACATTGCTGGATTTTAGATTTCCATGGGGGACCTCGTATGTTGCAAACTCTGTATAAATGAAACTGAGTCCACGAGCGATTCCGTGGATGATCTTCAGACGGGTCGGCCAATTCAGATTAGCATGAATGATTCCTCGATCACCTGAAAAACCACGTTTTCGAGTTATAAATGGGAAGAAAGAGAAAAACAAACCTGTAATCTGTAACGTTTCAATTTGTTCTTCACTCTATTCTTTGCAATGTTACATAGAATGTTATTCTCTAATGTAACTGACTGGAATATGATGCTAACGCTTATTCCATTGCCAGATGAAGATATTTAACCATTAATTTTAGAATTTTAATTGGATTCAGAGACGCAAAAGCAATTACATAGTTATCTAAAATATAAATTAACCAAGATGATGATAGTCATACCATGCAAAACGTATAACAAGCTGCCCTTAGGCATGTATTCGGAAACAATAAGCTTCTCCTCTCTTCGAAAATGGTATGCCAATGGCGTCAAGATATTGGGGTGCCTTATTTTCCCAAACCGCCTCATTTCAGCGTCAAACCCATCTTTTCCCAACCTATTCATCTCCCTCATTCGCTTCACTACCACGGCCAATCCATTTGCCATCACAGCCTTGTATGCAGAGCCTAACCCGCCATTTCCAAGCACCTCCGCGGCTGCCTTCATCAAATCTTGCAACCCAAAGGCTTCCTTCTCATCATTCACCATGACCAAGTCAGTCATCCCATTCTTACTGCCATGATGGGAGGACCCTCTCTTCGAGTCAGAACTACCCCTGCGGCTCGACTCTGAAGGCTTTCGGCGGGTTGATTCAGGTACGTGCACTTCCACTACCTCCTCTCTTAGAGGTTCCTTACCTAGAACGCTGAAGTCATCGTCCCTCCTACGCCTTGCGGAAATGATGGAGACTATCACAAACAACAGTAAAATAATCAAGGTTGCGATGCCAATGACTACCTTGGCGCTGGAACCAGATCCTTGGTTTTGGCCTGATGGATTTGAAGCTCCTGATTGCTGAACTTTGTCGCAATCTATCCCCAGTGGTTTCCCACAAAGTCCTTCGTTTTCTTTGAATGAAGAGGCATTGAACTTGGAGAAACTTGCTGGGATTTCTCCCTCCAGGTTGTTACGGGTTAGGTTAAGGGAAGTAAGTGCATTCGGAAATTTCAATGGTGGGATTTGTCCTGAGAATTGATTGCCCTCTAGATGGAGTTCTACGAGATGGGGTAGTTGCATTAAGGACTCAGGAATTTTTCCTGTGAGTTTGTTATCATTTAGCCAAACTTTCTTCAAAGATCCCATCGATGCAAAGTAATCATTTGGTATCTCACCGCTAAACTGATTGTGAGAAAGGTATATAGCCTTTAAAGGGCCAAGTTTATTAAATTCCGGGATTGGACCTGTGAAAGAGTTCCTCACTAAGCTGATGGTTCTCAAGCCACGAAGTTGAAGCAAAGCTTGAACGTCGACTGGTCCTGCAAGATGTAAGCCAGTCAAATGGAGGCCAACAATGGTCTGTCCAGAACACATGACACCAACCCACTTTTTCTGGCAAGGAGAGGACCCTGGTTTCCAACTATTCAGATCACCTTGTGACAAAGATCTCTTGAGCTTAATGAGAGTATCTGCATCTGATTGAGAGAAACAAAGGGTGGGAAGAGAAAGGGTTAAAAGAAGGGGTAGCAAAGGGAGGAAGGGGAGGAGGAAGCGAACAGCGGCCATTACTGACCGGAAATGGTAAAGCTCCGGATAGAAACGAGCCGCTGCTCGGAAAGATCCTGTGGTTCTCTGAGTCTTTGTTTGGGTTGTTCTGTTTCCTTTTGCTTAATTCGGGGAAGACAAGAGGGTGGTGTGCCATGTTGGTAAGAGTATGTGGCTTTGAGAGAAGGAATTGAATGATGCAGCTGGCAAGGTTACAGTAGATTCTAAGAATAGAAAGGGAATAGAGGCTTGAGGGGGGAGAGAGTTTATGGGATTGAAAGGGAGAAAGAGAGGCGTGCAAATTCTTTTGACCTTGTCAGCGTCAACGCGGGCCTTTCCCATTAATGGGTTGACGCCATTGCAGAACTGACTTCAATCTCGTATAGGAAGAAATTCTATGTTGAGTAATGCTATACACTCTAAATTGTTGGTATCGCAGACAAACATCTCTTTCGGAAAATCCATAAATGAGTATGAATAATAAACCAGTATCTAATGGTTAAAATGACTAGATTAAAGGTGTTGGTCCGGTTAAAAGTCGTTAAAAGAGTAGTTTCTTTAAGCTCATATAAATTGTCTTTTAGCTGTCTGACCATGAAACTATAACTTTTCTGATTTAGTCAAAGCAACGGTAAGGCAATTCCATGAAAGCAAAGTATTTTTCTGTAAAATTAAAAAAGCATAGGAATGATTAGAGTCAAAAGACTCAAGTTCTTGCTGTTTTCTTTGGTCCTGCTATGTACAATTATTTGGTATGCACACGAGAAAACAGAGTACAATTTGCAGAGACCATATGATGGCTGTACCTAGGTTTTGGATCACGTCCCTGCAATCCCATTTCTCGAGTCTTAAGTGAAAATCAACGTGTTGTGAAAGCCTGCAGATACAAACATGCAATGTTATATATCAACCTACTCTTATTGGCAGCTTTGCTTTGGTCACTATAAGCTCAACCAAAATGAATGAGTGAAATTCACGGTGTAATATATTACCCCAGTTGAATAAGTTAATGTAATTTCAAAGCTCAAACAAGAAGTAGAGCAATACCGAGAAAACGTTGCAGTGACCAGGGTCTGCAATATGAGCCATCAAGTTCTCAATTGGGCCTTCGCCGGTATAGATAGCTTGGAAGCAGAAGCCAACAAATGCTAGCATCGCAAGACGCCCATTCTTGATCTCTTTAGTCCTCAACACCATCACTGGCTCTGGGGACCCTCTTCCCCACATCATGGGGTCAAACCACAAGCCACCTGGGTAACCAACGTCCGGCGTTGGGTTCTTCTTGTTAGGAAATTTCAATTGAATATCTACACTCCCTGGGTTAATCATATCAACCCACCTTCTGCCTTCAACCCAACCCATCAATGCCATTTGCACCACAAACAAGGTTGTAGGGTCTGCAAAGTATTCTCGAGCACCAGCATCATACCATGAGAAGTTCTCAATGAAACCCAGCCTTTCAAGGCATTCTGGTATGAGTATTCCTGCCACAGCCAGCATTGCCCACCTGGCATGCATTAGCTCAGCTTGTGCAAACCATTTAAGTGTTTCTGGATCAGATCCTGAAAATAATTTATTTTAGAGATAAGCAAATGTTGAATATGAGAGTTGTGCCAAGCACCTCAGATAATAAAAGTTTTGCAAGCAACTTCAAGCAAGATTTATTTGTAGACCATTGCTGATCTCTTGCTCCAGAAGAGAAAAGGGCGGGTAATCTTACAAGTTGGTATCAGAAGTAGCCAGTAAATTAAGCTGAATGGATCCTGTTTTTCCTCAGAAATCAGAATTAATTAGTTTAGGTTGAAGTTTTTGGCTCATCTATGATCAATAAAATCGGTACAAATGCAACTGCGAAAACGGGTCCTACCCAACAAACTTCACAGGATTGTCAAACTTTTACCAGGGATAAAAAATCCCTCCTGGCTTCAAAAACTAAAAGTGCAAGTTTCATAATGTCTAGCTCAATGCAAAATAAGGCATACCTAATCCAAGTGGGTCGAAGCCAAAATCTCCAGGAAGGCTACAACAAAAAAAATAAAGAAATTTATAATGATATCATGCCGATCTTACTTCAACACAAACATTAGAAATTGCAGCACTTAGTACTTTCAGAACACTAAATTCAGGATATTCTTTGTGGCTGCAGAAAAGGAAAAGAAACTAAAAGACTAAAAGGGATTGTTAGACCATCTCAGACTTTTCCTGTTTTAAGCATTAGAATGCATTTATAAATACTGCCAAAGAAGAGTCTTATGCACAAGGGAATGATAAGAGACAAATATCAGATTTAAGGACATTTATCTGGTAATGACTGTCTACAGGAGGAGAGATAGATCGATGCTACCTGCCATCGAGCCACTCTGGAGGTGTGCTACCAGGGAACCATAATGGTCTATCAGGAGGAAGGGGTTCACAAACACTTGACACTCCTTTCGTTGCTCTCAGATGAGTGCTTCCTGGTAAGAATGTCGTAATTTTTCCTGGAAATGGTTTTTGAGGTTTATCCCTGCGTATGGGCAAATTTACTTGGAATCAGCAAAAGTATTTCGAAGAATGACAACTTTATATGTGCATAGTTAACAAGACAATGCATTTTTTAAATCTCAATTACCTGATTGGAAGGCTTGACAGTGCAGTGGAGGCAATAGCGAAAGCCATAGATGACACAACACAAATGTCCTTTGGAGTTGGCAAAGCATTGCTTTGCAAGGGTGAATCCCTTATCAGCTTGAAAAATATGGGAAACACTGAAGAAGTCATGATAGATTCCCTGAGGTGGAACAAAAGGGCAACAAGGAGAGCAATGACAGCTTTACATGTGTAAAAGATATAAAGTTTGCAACACGAGTTCTGGTTAGTGGTTTGGGTAAGGACAATGTGGCCTATAACATCCGGGCCCAAGTTGAAGATGGGTCTGAACTCTGATGTCCCGGACCACCCTACATGGTCACATCAACATTCCGGGTTCCCGGAACCTGCTTAGAAAAGTCAACAACCGAAAAATTCCCATTACCAAGCGTTTGGTAGTATGCAATCTTGACAAAGACTCATAGATTCTTATTTCAAATGCAAAATGTTAATTGTTGAAGCCTCAAGCCTATTGCTCAGTCAGCTTCATCGTTATATCATGACATGAAAACATTAGCTCTGATAAATACATTTCATCTACTGTGTTTTTTAAAATTCCCTTTATTTAACTGGACAGATTGCAACCCATCAACTGTTCACCTACTAAAGTGACGGGCATTGCTTCTCGTTGCCGTGAAAGAGGCCTCAGATTTTCAGATTCTTTTATCTCCTAGATGAAGAGTAGGAGACAGAAATTACATTTATGTACATGTTCATCATTTTTTCCCCTTTTTGTCACTCAATAAAGATAAAAATGAACTTTGGATAGATGCACGGCACAAGGAAAGAACACGTAAAGCTAACAACCTATGACATAGGTGCCTTTCCCTCAAGGTCAGGGCCTTTTCTTGATCATCTTTCTATTCATTCTAGTGTAACTCTTTTTACTTTGTCCACGTTAGAAATTCATTACAAATAGGTGTATTCACCTATTGCCAAATCCCAATTTTTTTTCTTACATTAAATTGCAACTCAAAATCCCATCAAAATGATAAGTATTTGCCTTTTCATCAGGTAAATAGATTCCCAAAACTAAACTACTCCACTAATTCTTTCAAACTAACCCTAATTTTAGTTTGAATTCCATCCTCTTTAAGCCCAGCTAGTGTCAGTAAATCAACTAAGCCGCATGATGATACCCTGCAACCTAGTGTCACTCCAATTACTAGCCTTAAAAATACCGAACTGCCCAAACTAGAAACTACACTCTCTCTCTTGCCTTCTACGTTGCGGTCTTCCCTTGAAGTGTACTCCTCCATTTCTAAACAACAAATCCACCAGCTCTCGATCGTTACAGCCCACCAAAAAATATACGCTCTTTGCCCTTTTAATTCTTCTTAATCAAAAAGATCCTTCTTTTCCATGTTCCAAACCCAACTGAAGAAAACCGTTTCTTGAACCAATTTTATCAAGCCAAAGCAAAAACCCGAAATGGTGGAGACCTTGCCGGTTGGGCGGTTTCAAATACAACAACATAGGCTGGAACTTAAGAGATGGGTTCCGGCATTCCTTTCTTCACATAAAACTCTATTTACTGTCCTCTGGATCGCGGCTTTCGCTTCGGTCTTTCTATGGCAACGGAATATTGTTGGGGTGGGTTCTCGATATTCGGCAAAGCCGGACCCGGTCGGCCGATGCCCAAGACGCGGCCTTTCGCGCTTAATTTGACTGATTTTGGTGCGGTCGGGGATGGGGTCACGGTTAATACGGCGGCGTTTGAGAGGGCTGTCCTGGCGATCTCGAAGCTTGGGAAGAGAGGAGGTGCTCAGCTCAACGTGCCGCCTGGGAAGTGGCTTACGGCGCCGTTTAATCTCACTAGTCATATGACTTTGTTTCTAGCTGAGGATGCTGAGATTCTTGGAATCGAGGTTGGTTTTTTCAACTAAACATCATATAAAATGGTGTAAGTTTTTTTTTTTTTTTTTTAAAGTGATCTAGTTGTTAAGTTCATGAGCGTAAGTATGTTTACCGTTGGGTACTTAAAAAACAGTGAAAATGAATCTCAAACATGGTTTATTAACTAAACAAGCTAAGTCAAGCAAGCCTTTTTGTCAAGACAAGATTGGGGTTTTGACACTTATTATTAACATATTAGGTTGATTGTTTGTTAATTGTGATGAAGGGGAACTTAGTGTGAGCATGTGTAATTAGGAGAATATATAATCGTTTTCAAGGTATTTATGTAAACCTTGAAGCTTTAGAGTATGATATTGCCAGTAATTTCTAGCTTGCGAGACATATTGGTATTAGTTTAAGTTTTTTCCATTAGGTAATTTCTTGTGTCGAAGTTAGTTATTTGGCAGTTTTGATTAAACTTTTTGATTATGGTGGCTTCATCTTGTGATTGTTGTATCACATTTACAATGTCTATTGCTAATTTTGGGCGTGTTCTCTTTAATGGTATTATACAGGATGAGAGGCAATGGCCATTAATGCCTCCATTACCTTCATACGGATACGGAAGGGAGCATCATGGACCTCGGTATGGGAGTTTAATCCATGGCCAAAACCTCAAAGATGTTGTTATAACTGGTTAGTTTATTCACCTGCATGTGTAAGCAGAAATTTTAGTTTTTAAGTCAGTTTGAAATATTTTCTTTTAAATTCATTTGACTTAGAAGGTGGCTTGCACAATAGACCCTTTTTTATTGGTAAGCTATGGCCTCTTTGAACTCAAGCATTTTATGATTCTGAACTGTATCAAACTAGTGTCTATATGGTCTTTGGTCAAAGAATCACAGGGAACTTCATAGAATCTCTTTGACTGGAATCATGTTCTCTTGTTTTAAAAATTTGAAGTCATTCATTTCAGCAATATAGTTGGTTCTTGTATAAAAGTAGTTTCTATGGGTCCATTAAGAACCTTAAACCAGTAAATCTATAATGGCCAATCATCTTCCCTTGGACTGCTCATTGAATTTTCGAATTTTAAGTCATTAAGAAATTTTCCTGCATAGTTGATAAACTATACATAATGTTGGTGAATATGACAGGACATTTCAAGATGTTATTATTACCAATTAGCTATCATACAATAGAATCAGCCATTAACCACTTATATGGTTTAAGCAATAATTATTGCAAACAACCTATATTTTGGATGTATCTATTGTGAATGAGGCAATTTGGTTATTCAAAGTTATCGCACATGAATTATTACTGGCAGGTTGATGTCTAAACCTGTTTTCTGCATCCCTTATCAAAGTTTATAGTCTAGTATGTTATGTGACAACTTACACAAAAACAGTTGCGAATTGATTCTTTTTTTTTTCTCTTTTTCTAATGGGAAATAAGGGGGAAAGAAACAGTCTTATTAAGGTTTTAGGTGAAGAAAAATTACCAGCTTGCTCTCTTTTGCTTCTTATCTGAGCGTCTGTTATAAACTGTGATGCCACATACCAAATTGATGAAACAATCAATCAATCATAGTCACTATGGAAATCTAATTGGCTGCTAGCAACACATATGATGTAGATTTGATTATTTGACTCTAAAATCTTAGAAGTTGGTTGAGTTTCTTGTGTATGTGCACTTCTGGTAAATGAATGCTGAGACCTTTGTTCTGTGTAAATCATTCATTGCTAGCTGAGTCTGATTTACCCTTGTTTTAACAAATCAACAGGGCATAATGGTACCATAAATGGACAGGGTCAATCATGGTGGAAGAAGTATCGCCAAAAGCTACTCAATCACACCAGGGGTCCACTTGTGCAGATAATGTGGTCAAGTGACATTGTGATCTCTAATATAACCTTACGTGATTCTCCTTTTTGGACTTTTCATCCATATGACTGCAAGAATGTAACAGTCAGGAATGTTACCATCCTGGCTCCCATTTTTGAAGCCCCAAATACTGATGGAATTGATCCTGGTAAGTAGTCACTAAATATAAGATTTAAACTTTGTTAAAAAAAATATATAAGATTTAAACGTTGGTCTAAGAGAATTTATGTTAGCTAAGGCCCTGGACAGAGTTCTCATTCATTCTATGAATATTTTTTTAGATATGTCCATTCGACATGTAAATAGGAGAAAAAGGTGGATAGAGGGTTTCCTCTTTCCCTTTTTTTGGGGAGAATTTGACCTCTCTCTCTCTCTCCCTCTGTGCGTACACATAAAAGTCACTGACAAAGAAGCCTAGTAATGATCTATATATTTTTTGTGATTTGGCCAACTTACTTAACAAGCTTGGTTGATAATCTGGAGAATAAATTCAAGGCTTTGAGGAGTAGTTGAAGCTAGATTACAAAAGCTTTATCTTGTCACAGAAGCTGGAAGCTGAAGATTTAGATGTAGAATGTACAAATTTAGTATTCTGAACTGAAATCTATAAAATGAGTGGGCAAATTGCAGCAAATTTGCTTTCGCTGTTTTGTCTGTTGTCTCCTTCCCCCCATTCCTTTATGACACAGACAAGAAAATTGACATTGTGTATGCATTTTTATAAACAGAGTGAACATCATATAATGCTGGCCTGCTCAAATAATCCTCACCTATGTACACCACATTTCTGCTTGTTGATTTGCTGTGGGGAATAAAAAAGATTAGTTCATTCTGAATGTGACTAATTGCAAATCAGTTATGTCATAAACAGATTCATGTGACGATGTGGTAATCGAGGATTGCTACATAAGTGTTGGGGATGATGCAATTGCAATAAAGAGTGGCTGGGATCAATACGGCATATCTTATGGACGACCTTCAAGGAACATTCTTATCCGAAACCTCATTGTCCGCTCTATGGTCAGGTGAAGTTTCTTAAATTACTATTCCTCCAGCATCATGAACAATCTATTGCCTAATTGTTCTCATGTTTACAAAAAGTGGGGTTTCAAATAGCATGCGTGCATAACATTTCTTGCAAACTTTTGATGCAAATAGATTCTCTGGCAAATAATTAAAGTTCCTAGATTTTTCTATTCTTGTGTCCTTCCCCTTCTGTTGCATCACTGGACTTTTTGAATGTTTATCTGTGCATGCCTGGTATTTCCTTTACTGATGTCCCCTGGAACAGCTCTGCATTTTGAGTCGTCCCGAATCTGCAATGGCTTGAACTCTTGCTTTCTAATCTAACTTATGAGAGAAACTATTTAGATTTTGTGATACTTCATCCAAACCTTCCTCTGCTTTTGCCCTCTATGTTTATTTCTCATGTTGTTAATGAAAAAGGCCAAATTTGTGCAC